ACTAGGAAGGAGTCTCTTACTGACTCCATGAACAAGGATGCTGGGTGATTCTCTTCCCTTGGAGAGGATCCATCTATCCAGTCTAGCTCTGGATGATTAAAATCACCAACGATCAACGTGTGTGACTTACGGAAAGTCATGCTCGGTAAAAGACTGTTTAGTATTTCATCGTTATTAGAAGAACCATGTTTAGGTTTCTATTTGTTAATGGTGTCCGTGCCCCAACGGTCTGCTCTCTTAAACGCCCTGGCGCTGCCGCACCTACAGCCTGACATTGACCATGTCCCTTTTGTTTAATTAAGGTACGCCGGTGGGCCTGCTTGGTAGCACTGACCACGTTACCTCCGGAGCCCTTGTTGTATTTCTCTGCGAGTTTGCTGGAGCTATCTAGTCTACGCGGGCCTGCTTCGTCGCGTCAGCGTTCGTGGCAACTCTTGAGCTGGCAAACCTCAAGTTGAGTTGGGCGCTGCGTGTGCGTTTTCAGTCCGTGAATGACCTATAAGGAGGAGCCGACTTGAAGCAGCCTAAACTTAGTTCCGTTTATCTCGTACTTGCTTACAGTTTGAATATAGTTTAACGTAACGTAATAGGTAGGCACGTACGGTGCCTATTCTTTGTGCCATCAACTTTAAGTTCTTTTAGGAGATTATACCTTTACTTAGTAAAGTTTTGAAACTTGTAAGCTTTTGTCCTTCCTTCCTGCAACCGTCTTGGAGGCCTGCCCTGACAGTGGCCTACGGCTGCGAACCCATTCGTTGTAACCTGTTGTGCTGCATTTTAATGAGGTACCCCTGTACCCTCGCCTCAGTCCAATATCTCGGTACCCTCACCTCGGTCCGGTAGCCCCAGCGCCCCTATATAACCTCGGTCCGGTAGCCCCGGCGTCCCTCACCTCGGTCCGGTTGCCGGTCCTGTACTTCCTTCTGGCGACAATAGGCGTGCCCGACATGATAAAGACGAGTCCTCCATAGGACTCATCTGGTTCCCGATACGGTATCTCTTCTGTTGTCGTGTACCTGATACAAATTTAGGATATACCTTAACATTACGTTTATATGAACTGTATCTTTAATATGGTCAACATTTGAGATAACCGAAAAATAATTAAGAAAGTGACAAGGCGCGAGCGAAATATTAAATTGATTTGCGTTTATCTTACGTTTCTATCTTGGAACAGACGTTGGGGCCCGTCAGGACGCTGGCGTGGACAAGCCCGACCACCAAGACCACCACCGCCAGCAGGCAGAACAAGGACGGCGTCCGTGAGGACAAAGGGCGTGTGTGAGGCCCAAATGAAGGGTTTGGACGACCCACAACCTCCGTGTCTTCATTTTCAGGACCCATTGTGAGGACGTGGGGAGAAATAGTATGCTTTTGTAAGAGCTATTATTGGGCTTGTTGGCAACACTGAAATTTGAGTCCAAAATTAAAATGGTTTGATTTTGTAAGAGCTTTTCTGGACTTGTTGGCAACACTGAAATTCGAGTTAAAAATTAAAAAAGTTTGCTTTTGTAAGAGCTTTTATTGGGCTTGTTGGCAACACTGAAATTTGAGTCCAAAATTAAAAAGTTTGCTTTTGTAAGAGCTTTTCTGGGCTTGTTGGCAACACTGAAATTTGAGTTAAAAATTAAAAAAGTTTGATTTTGTAAGAGCTTTTATTGGGCTTGTTGGCAACACTGAAATTTGAGTTCAAAATTAGATCGACTGAAGTTTAGCGTAAAGCGATACCAGAAATGGGAATGCTTGGTTAAAGAGTTGAAAATATTCATTATAATAGAAATAAATGATAATAATATGAAATAATATTCATGCTGCGATTAGGGTGAGGATTGGGATATTTTAGAAAACACATGGATTTTTGACCGATCGCTCCGACTGTCAAGCTCTTGGCAGCGCAGCCACTGCACTACTAGCCCCCACCGCCGACTGTCAAGCTCTTGGCAGCGCAGCCACTGCACTACCAGCCCCCACCGCCGACTGCCAAGCTCTTGGCAGCGCAGCCACTGCACTACCAGCCCCCACCGCCGACTGCCAAGCTCTTGGCAGCGCAGCCACTGCACTACCAGCCCNAAACACTGCAGAATGATCTCAATAGAATGCAGGAGTGGTCAGATGATTGGTTACTCAGGTTCCATCCGGAGAAATGTCACGTTCTGAAACTAGGGAGTAAGAAATCTGAGGCAAAATACACCATGAAGGGAACAAAGGATGGGAAGTCGTACACGGTACAGCTTCAGGAGAGCGAAGTGGAAAGGGACCTGGGGGTCTTTGTTGACAGCAGTCTGAATTTCGGGGAGCATGTGGCAAGAGTGACGTCAAAGGCAAACCAGGTGATGGGGGTGATACGGCGTAATTTCGACTTCCTCGACGAAAACTTGTTTGTTCAGCTTTACAAGAGCCTTGTGAGGCCCTTAGTTGAATATGGACACTCTGCCTGGCAGCCGTTTCACAAGACTCTATGTGCTGACATTGAAGACGTTCAGAGACGGGGCACCAAGCTCCTCTCTTCGATCAGAGATTTGCCATACTCCGCCAGGCTGGAAGCGTTGCGTCTCCCCTGTCTTGAGCATAGGCGCCTGCGGGGTGACCTTATCGATACGTACAAGTACGTACATGGACTGTACAGGGTGTTAAAGCCCAAGTTCCAGTTATCAAGCAACAGGGATACTAGAGGCCACTCTCTGAAGCTCGCAAAAGGCAGATGCCGACTCAGCGTAAGGAGCAACTTCTTTTCACAGCGAGTAATTAACTCATGGAATAGTCTGCCAGAGTCAGTCGTAACAGCACCATCTGTAAACAGCTTCAAGAGCAGGTTTGACAGTTTCTGGAGGGACAACCCGGCCCTGTATAGCCCTTCATGCTACGAGTGATGAGGCTTCGATCATCTTGGAACAGACACTGCGACGGGCGCGGTGCTGATAAAAATTGTTGTCGACCGATGAACAGGACCGTCAGGGACCTTAAATCGTATTGTCAAAGTCAAAGTCAAAGTTTATTGCATGAACATTCCAGTACATTTATTGAACTTTACTTCTCCTTGAACCCGATTCAGTTATTTGGCTCGCTTGAACAATTGAAATTTTTAGTTTAAAAAGTTTGTTATTTTGAATATTTGGTTCTTATTTTCACGTAAAATTTTGTTAAAAGTAAGTGTACATCTTTTCGGCTGAGGAAAATGTATAAACAAAGAAAAAAATTCGAATTGGGCTCTCGATTCCCCAGGGAAAGGTTTATATGTTAAATAAATCATACCAGACCTAAATGATTACATTGTACCTTGCATCTGCCCACACAACGTCATGTTTAATGACGTTCTGCAGGCCGGGCGGTTAAGTACAGCAGAATTAGAAGAGCGAGTTGAGAGTTAGAGACCGCCACATTCTGTGAATGTTCTGTAATGTTAAAAATCGGCGACGGACCAACGGCCTAATGAACACTGAAACCGCTATATAAACTGCTGTGCATATAACATAACATAGTGATGTCGGCGCTGGAGTGTAGGCCTGATGTGGCCTGTCGCCGATTCTTGTACTTTTCGTGCCTTGTTCACAGAAGATCTAAACTCGTGTCATTTGACCGGATCTTCTCAAGATTGACGATAGTTTGAAATAGCTACAAGACTTCCACCGGGTTCGATATGGTGTTAGGCATTTCAAGTCTGAGCATATATTTTTCCATAGCTTTATCTAGTCTGTTCTTGAACACGTTCATACTTGATGCACAAACGATGTCATCTGGGACGGTGTTCCACATGTCGGTGATTCGAAGCGAGAAGAAATTTTGTCGCGTGGAGAAGTTGCAGCGCAGTTTTTTAGCTTATAGCCGTTGCCCCTGGTCGTATTGTCTAGATATTGTTACACTTTCGTGCCCGCAGCACGTGCAGTGAACGGACTAGTGACACGCCCTTTTGCCGAGCCAAACTGGGTCAAGAAATTTGGACAAAATCTCACGCATTTCTGTGAGTGCGTGGGATTGTTTAGGTATTCACGACGTTCATTTTTTTATTTTATGTACAAGCAGAAAATTTAAACGATAATTATATAATTTGCATGAGATTAAATTGAAGATTATTCTCAGACTAATTAGAATTAGGCTACGTTTATAACAATAATAATGTTAAAATATGTAACTATTTTATAACTGTTTATTTCTGGCTAATGAATTAATGTTGATTAATTAATTAATTACCGAATTAATGTATTTAATTAATGAAATTAATATTTTACGAGTCTCAAGCATTTACTCAATGGAAAATTATTAAAGTTCTTAATTTGAACTTGTATCCCCTCAATGCTCTCGTTTTATTCTGGCCTTTTAATTTAATTTCAAGGGAAACTTCACTAAAATTACAGTGCGGAGATGTTGAAGAAACTCAAAACAATTGATGGATCATATTGTCCATATAGTGACACACTTTCTTCAGGTAGCACTGATACGCTCTTTCGCCGGACCAAACAAAGTCAAGAAGACTCCGTTTTCGGACAATAACGCCCTTATTTTTCAGAGTGGCATGATATTATTTTCACTTGGGCAGCAGACGACACAGGCGGGCAACCGCGGCCAACAGCATCGCGTGAAAGCAGTCGCCTCCTGTTGAATTAAACAGGAGCTATTCAACAGAGTTAAGTTCAGCAGATGCCATTCAACAGAGTTAAGTTCAGCAGGAGCTATTCAACAGAGTTAAGTTCAGCAGGAGCTATTCAACAGAGTTAAGTTCAGCAGNGCCACACGTCATCACCTGCGGTAGACCACGCACACGACGACTGCCAGGACGATGAGGCAGACGAGGCCCACGGTAACGCCGACCACGAGGGGAACGACGACGTTAGGCAAGGGCTCGTCGCAACGGTCGCCTGCGAGGACGAAGAGGTAGGCGAGAGTGAGAGAGGGCAAAGAGGTACTGAATAGGACGAAAATAATTTGAATTTAAAGCGTGAATAACCTTCGAGAAAAGAATAAATAAGCAGAGTAAGTCTCAAAATGAAGAAAAAATTAATGTGAAGCCAGTGCATGGGAACCATTACCTCTGAAACCGGGGCGACATGTGCAGGCGTCCACGTGATGGCAGACGAACTGGTCAGAGGGGCAGCTGCAGACCTCTTTACACTGCAGACCGTAGAAGCCCTCAGGACACGCTGTTACGTATAAAAACATGCAGGAGTAGTATTTTATTAAAATACCTTACATGGCCGATTTTACATTGATTTTCATTTGCAGTGAGTGTTACACACAAAATCTGCAGGCGTATTGACCGAAATTACGAGGTATGTGTAGGGTTCAAACCAAGCCACAAAAATGACCCTGGGGCTGTACTATCGAAATTCGCATGCAAACTCATACCCTAACAAAATTCGGCCTCCGCCCTAGAGTTGCTATGTTCGCGTTAGAGTTATCCTGGGTCAGTTGGCCAACTGATCGCAATCAGCGTCTATTCAGAACCTCCTAGCCGACTTTATAGTCACCTGAGAGTAGGGCAAGAGTTGGCAGAATAAGTACCAGGCGCTTGTAGCTGTCTGATTCGGGGATCGGAATGTAGACCAAAGAGCGGACATAGGGAAGTTGAGTTACGTTCGGTCCGAGTCCTAGGCAGTTCCTAATTCAGGGTCGCCACCAACTCAAAATTTTTATAAGGTAATATTTTTGATAGTACGGCTCCTTTTGGTTACAAATGTGCAACCTACAGGTGAATGTGGACTACGAGTGGGTGCGTGTACTCACTAATATTACAGGAGGGTCCGGTGTAGCCAGCCTCACAGTGGCAGAGGTCGGGCGTGAGGCAGATGCCGTGGCGGCAGCCATGGGAGCACACGACAGCCTGGCACACCCGGAAGCCTGTGGATGACTTGACCTCGGTGTAGCCGCTGCAGCACTTCTCAACCGTCCGTAGATGTGTCCGTATCTGGAATGTCATTCGTCTTGTTAACGTCACGAACGTGGTTCGCTGGATGTACATACATGCCGGAGGCCAGCTAGTTCAACTTCACACTTAGTTCATATTCTTTTCCGTATATAAGCACGCTAAAGGGCATTGCAGACTTTGAATTCAATGGCTCACAGCCATAGCGCCGTATATCCCAGCTACTGCTGACGTATACGCCCACCCTGCTGGGCAGGGTGGCCTAGTGGTAACAGTTCAGAGGCCGGCGTTTTCCTCAAGATTGGCGCAGAGGCGCGGGTTCGATCCCAGCTCTGTGCGCCAGTTTCTGGTCAGAATCGGCAAGGAGGCCGGGCGGTTAAGCACAACAGAATTGTAGCAGTGAGTTGTGAGTTCGAGACCGCAAAATGCTGTGAATGTTCTGCGATGTTAAGAATCGGCAAGAGGCCTACGGCCTACTAAACGCTGAAACCGCTATTACTATTACTATTACTATTACTAGTATGTTAAAGTTAAGCAAGGTCATACTTGCATCTCGTTAAACATACTCCGACCTAACCTATTTTGGGCTAAGATACATATGTTGAAACAGATCTTCACTTAAAACAAACTTGAGTGAATATAACTAACCTCATTGGCTGCAGGAAGTTAGAGAGGAGAGGCAATTGAGCAATTAGAGCCAGTCATTGGTTACAAGAAAGTTGTGAATTGGGGCAGCTTGAACAGATTAGGCCAGAAGAGGTTAGGCCGAAGTAAGTGAGCCCGGATACAGAACTGTGTAGAGTAAAGTAGAGAGTAGATGACGGCCAGCAGGGAGTTGAGGGACCAGCAGCACAGCCGCAGCGGCCACCGCAGCAGCAGCGCCGTCATTCTGCGACGACAGTATATTAATATAAATGACAGTATATTTATTGAGATTTAGTCAAAATAATACTATTACCGGTATATCATAATATAAAATGCTTCATTATATGTAGGTATAACATATATTACCTATATGCTATATTCAAGTTTTGGTCAATAGCTGGACAGGATTGGTAACATCACTGGACAGGGGTTCAGACAAAATCGCGTCTGGTTATGTACTCTGCAACTAGTTTGTACTTACGGGATGCAAAATAAACCACATTACCACACATTCTAAAAAATATAACTCAGTACTCACTGTAGTGAGTGACAGAGAGCGCATTTTCTCATCGACAAAAAGTGAAGTCACGGACAGACAGACATGACGAGCACAATAGCGCCTTTTTTCCATAAATGAGAAAATGCACTAAAAATGATTAAGTTAACCCTAACACTAAAGAACGTTAGGGTTAGTTGAGTATAAAACACTCCTTCATGCTGCTAGACTCCTTTATACAGGGTTCAAGTCCAGCCAGGTTTAGTTCAAGTTAAGTTATTTTTGCCTTTTTTTAAATTTTACAAAGGTCATTGGATACAAATTAATAACAGTCCAGAAAAGTGCAACTTGTATAAACATACATATATCTGTATTATATCATGATATAATATAGATATATCTATAATATATTCAAACTAAATTATGCATTAAAAGCTAAAGAAAAAAATAATTCTTTTCCTATTGCAATTCACTTGTTTTTTTTCTGTTAATTTTTTTCTTTTTACCAATTATAATATATATATATATATTAATATTAGTATAGGCTGGCAGAATTTCTTCTCTTAAGCAAGTTTTGTTAAAGACCAGAGAATTAGTTTTATTATATATATTAATATACCCATGGTATAATAAAAATAGATATTCATTTGAGCAGCAATACATTTTCTGTATAGAGGCAGCACAAACATAGGTAAATAACAAGTAAATATTGGGTCAATGAAGGGAAATGTTGCTTACCCCCGCAGTGGGAGGCTGAGGAGGCCCCACCATTGCCCCACCACCTGAAGGGGACGCTGCTGGGGGACTGTGGGTTCCTCAGTGGGGGGGTGCTGGAGGGGTGGGGGCTCTGGGACCCCAACCCCCGTCCTGCGCCGCACCTCAGGGCTGCTGGGGCTGCCATCGTTGGAGGGCTGAGTGAATGCATGGGTGAGATGGGCATGTACTGCCTCCCCCAGCACCCACCTGGTCAGACGCATGGGTGAGATGGGCATGTACTGCCTTCCCCAACACCCACCTGGTCAGACGCCTGGGTGAGATGGGCATGGACCGCCTCCTCCACCTGCCACTCAGCACCCGCCAGCGCTGCCACGCAGACACACACGTCTGTACAGCCTGTCACCTCCTGCAATTATCATTAGAGCTTACTTAATATTGCCATTATTAGATACATTCATGCCTCAGAAACTTTTTTTCTTGACTGAAAAATAGAAATTTGATTTTTAAATTATATTCTATTAGATAAACAAAAATAATTCAGACATTTGCCAAAATTTATTGATAATTTATCCCAGAATTCTATTCAAAAAATTTGGTTTGCAATGAAAAAAAAACATTTAATTATATGCATAGATGAGATCTGGTGAAGCATTAAGCTTTTAACTTTACTTTGAATAGATTATTACTCAATATCATATTCAATATATCATACTCAAAATTATTAATTTATTATCCAATATCGATTGTAACAACAATTCATGAAGCCCAAGGAAGTTCTGGTGAAAGATCCTTCATACTAATAATAATGACATTTTGAGTCTCAATGATCATTCTTGGCAAGACTCAGGACACTTTGTTAAAAGTGATTAATGTTGTTAACAGTGATTAGAGAATTACTGTTATTTATTTCCTCCAGAATTACTGTGGCAGCTTAGGAAATAAATTGTCTTCATATATGCAGTACCTCTTATCATCTTATGGAACACGATCAAAACAATCATTACGTACCTCCCCCATTTGAAACCAAGTTAAACTGGTCAGTGATCAGATAAACTACCTACTATTGATAAAATCTGAAGCATGGGCAATAGTGCAATAGACTTAGAAAACAAAAAGGAAATTTGATATATTTTCTCAAACCATATTTTAAAAAGTTTATATTTTTCATTAATGCTATAGAAGTTTCAACTGAAAATATGTACGGTAGTTACATTCAATATAGACATTAATGATTAAGCAGGAAATTAGTGCATTAGTACTGAAATTAGTCAAATTAGTCACCATGTCTATCAGGGCAGTGAAATTTCCTGCTTGGCAGCCACTTGTTTACCTGTTTTACTGTCTTTGCCTTATTTTTTTCAGAAAAAATGATATATAGTGATATACAATACATTTTCAATTTTATTTCTAGCAAATATCCTATGAAATAATAGCTTTAAATTTAACAAATTTAAATAATTTTCTTCAATTCTGACTGATATTCCAAATGGGTCTCAAGTTATTTTGAGAATTGTAGACAATAAAGTATTATTTTATATTAATGTTACTTAAAAAATTAGTTAAGGGATAAAGGAATGAGTAGAATTGACAGTAGGGTAGGCGCATGCATCAACTCAAGCATAGGCTCAAATCTCAATTTTATAATTTGTCATAAAGTGTTGTTTTTGGCAGTAATTCATGGAAAATTTACAACTTGGAAGTTGGAACTGTCACATTGGAAATTATATATTTTTCAAATATATTTTTTTCATGTTACTGGCCTTTTAACCCAATTTTATAGTGTGATTTCAACTTGAGTTTTACTTTTAGACCTCATTTGAAATTGATTATAATATTAAATGGGGAAGTCTTACCTGAAATTCCATAACCTTATCCAGCTGGTCAGGAGTGAGAGAGTCCTGGTCTGCCATGCCTTACAGCTTACACAAGTGGTACACTCGATTGAAAATTCGACTAGAAATGTAAATAGTAGTAGAGTATTGTAACTTAATACTTATTCAGAATTCAGGTGACAAGACAAATAGGTAACAATACATGACATTTGTACAAAAATCTGTAGTGACTGGAATTTAGATAAAATATTATTCATCAGAGATTCTAATGAAATATTTAAATGGCAAATTTTATTCATTTAATCTGTTAGCCATTCAGAGCAAGTTTCGATGAAAATTGACAAGACGATGTGACGATGTCTAATGAGCGACTGTTTACTTCCGCGCAATAAAAGTTTGTGAAAAAAATCCGAATTGGGCTCTCGATTCCTCAGGGAAATGTTTATATATTAAATAAATCATACCAGACCTAAATGATTACATTGTACCTTGCATTAGCCCACAGAACGTCATTAAACGTCATGTTTAATGACGTTCTAGATGCCGAGCGGTTAAGTAAAGCAGAATTAGAAGAGCGAGTTGAGAGTTCGAGACCGCAACATTCTGTGAATATTCTATAATGTTAAAAATCGGCGACGGACCAACGGCCTAATGAACACTGAAACCACTTTATAAACTGCTGTATATATAACATAACATAGTGATGTTGGCATTGAAGAGTAATATTTCACGAGTCTCAAGCATTTACTCATTAGAAAATTATTAGAGATCTACATTTGAAATGGTATCCCCTAAAGCTTCTATTTTATTCTTGCTCTTTCAATTTTATTTTATTAAGGGAAACTTCAGTAAATTTACAGTGCGGAGATGTTGAAGAAACTCATTACAATGGATGGGTCATATTGTCCATATAGTGACACACTTTCTTCAGGTAGCACTGATACGCTCTTTCGCCGGACCAAACAAAGTCAAGAAGACTCCGTTTTTGGACAATGTCGCCCTTATTTTTCAGAGTGGCATGATATTATTTTCACTTGGGCAGCAGACGACACAGGCGGGCAACCGCGGCCAACAGCATCGCGTGAAAGCAGTCGCCTCCTGTTGAATTAAACAGGAGCTATTCAACAGAGTTAAGTTCAGCAGGAGCTATTCAACAGAGTTAAGTTCAGCAGGAGCTATTCAACAGAGCAGCAAGCCTCCATAACACTGCACTAAGCTTGATAATTTAATATTCATACATACCACAACGGTCACTATGTTGTCATAATTCTTATAGATGATAAAATATTTGAGAAAATGTATTTATGCTCTTTCTTTATATCATAAAAATATTAAAATTATCCCGAATTTGGAAACTACTGATATAACAGGATCAATGCGAATGCATTGAATACATTTCGGTGACAACCTAAAAAGTTCAGTGGAAGAAGTCAAGAGACAAGTGAGTCATGGTGACCCAAAGGACGATCAGTATAAGACAAGTATACCAAAACGATCCAATATGATATGTGCCCTCTAAGAACGCATGTCCAGACACTAATAATTTTTTGAATAAATTATTTAAAATCTGTAAATGCATTCATATGAATAACTAACGCTGAATATGCCACGAGAGCCTCATGTGTCAGCTGGAGGAGTTTGTCTTGTCCAGCATGAAGAGGGAAATTCTTTTCCGAGGCTCGGTGAGGCAAGTGAGACCTTAAGGCCAGGGCCAACGAAACCTCGGCAGCGCCATTTTGTCCTGAAATTAGAGAAAAAATCAAAATAAATCTCGTATATCAGGCCTCGAGGGCCCCAAGACCTAGGAATGAGGTCCCCCGGGGCTACGATTACTGTTAACTGTGCCAGTGTATAAACAGGGGGATGTGTGAACCAGTTCTTTCCGGTACGAACCAGTTACATATGGCATGTTGGACAAGCCAGTTACATGTGGCAGTTTGGACCGGTATGAACCAGTTACACATGGTATGTTGGACCGGTACAAACCAGTTACACATGGCAGATAGCACCGGACGATCTAGCACGGAACGTTTCTTTTGTATCTCCGCAGGCATTTCTGGCCAACAAAGTTTCTTTTGTTTCTGCGGGATCGACATTAATTAAATGAAGCATCAATATTATAATTCTACCTATGACTCTCAGAGAAATGAGTAGTTTTTGTCCAGATAGCAGTGCCCCTTTTGCACTTGTATGGGTCATCCTGACATTGTTTTGCCCGAGGAAGTGTGCAACTATTTGGTCAATATGACCCATTGATTTTTCTGAGTATCGCAACGCTGGTATCTCACCCTCGGAGGTGGGGGGACGGGCGGTGAACTGAACCATTGAATGCTCCCCGCCCTTGTTCCCCATACGCCGCCTGCTGGGGGACATGCAAAGGGGTTAAGAGGGGGTTCAATGAGGAACATACATGCCGTTAACTGGGGCTTAATTGGGGACACGATTACTGTTAACTGGGGCTCGAAGGTTGGTACAATTGCTGTTAACTGGGGCTCAAAGGTTGATACAATTGCTGTCAACTGGGGCTCAATTGGAACAAAATTGCTTTTAATTGGGGCTCAATCAGGGACACGATTGGTGCTGATCGGAGCTTAATGGGGGACACAATTGCCGTTAACAGGGGCTCAATGGGGGACACGATTGCTTTTAATTGGGGCTCAATAAGGGACACGATTAGTGTTGATCGGAGCTTAATGGGGGACACGATAGCTGTTAACTGGGGCTCAATGGGGGACACGATTTCAGTTAACTGGGGCTACGACTGTAGTTATACCAAATAGATCAATTGTTCTACCGCTACACGTCATCACCTGCGGTAGACCACGCACACGACGACTGCCAGGACGATGAGGCAGACGAGGCCCACGGTAACGCCGACCACGAGGGGGACGACGACGTTAGGCAAGGGCTCGTCGCAACGGTCGCCTGCGAGGACGAAGAGGTAGGCGAGGGTGAGAGAGGGCAAAGAGGTACTGACTAGGACGAAAATAATTCGAATTTAAAGCGTAAGTAACCTTCAAGAAAAGAATAAATAAGCATAGAAAGTATCAAAATGAATAAGAAAAACGAATGTGAAGCAATTGAATGGGAACCATTACCTCCGAAGCCGGGCCGACATGTGCAGGCGTCCACGTGATGGCAGACGAACTGGTCAGAGGGGCAGCTGCAGACCTCTTTACACTGCAGACCGTAGAAGCCCTCAGGACACGCTGTTACGTATAAAAACATGCAGGAGTATTATTTTATTAAAATACGCTTCATGGCCGATTTGCTGTGATTTTCATTTTCAGTGAATGTTACGTACAAAATATGCGGGTGTAGTGGCTGAAATGACAGGAAATGTATGGGGTTCAAACCAAGCTCTAAAAATGGCCCTGGGCCTGAACTATCAAACATCGATTGCAACCTCATAATATTTTTGATGCTACGGTTCCTGGTGGTTATAAATGCGCTGTAACCGGTCCAACATGCCATGTGTAACTGGTTCGTACCGGTCCAACATGCCATTTGTAATTGGTTCTTACCGGTCCAACATACCATGTGTAACTGGTTCGTACCGGTCCAAACAGCCACGTGTAACCGGTCCGTACCGGTCCAAAAAGCCACGTGTAACTGGTTCGTACCGGTTCAAACAGCCACATGTAACCGGTACGTACCGGAAACGCTGGTGAACATGGATGACGACTGGGTGCAGGTACTCACTAATGTTACAGGAGGGTCCGGTGTAGCCAGCCTCACAGTGGCAGAGGTCGGGCGTGAGGCAGATGCCGTGGCGGCAGCCATGGGAGCACACGACAGCCTGACACATCAGGAAGCCTGTGGATGACTTGACCTCGGTGTAGCCGCTGCAGCACTTCTCAACCGTCCGTAGATGTGTCCGTATCTGGAATGTCATTCGTCTTGTTAACGTCACGAACGTGGTTCGCTGGATGTACATACATGCCGGAGGCCAGCTAGTTCAACTTCACACTTAGTTCATATTCTTTTCCGTATATAAGCACGCTAAAGGGCATTGCAGACTTTGAATTCAATGGCTCA